GTGTGGGAGGGTTGCCCGGGGCGGCCGGTGGGGCACCTGTAACAAGCTCCTGGGGCCAAGGCGGCTTTCTGCGGCCACACGCTGGGGAGCAGGGACCAGGGGGTTGTTTCCCGGAGACGATGGGTCGCAGAGGTCAGACCCAGAGACAGCCTCTGTAAGCCCCGCTGGTGAGGCCAGAGGATGCCGGGGGCCGTGGCAGCTGGCTCCGGGACAGCTTCCTCGCAGCTTGTCGGGTGGCATTTGAACTGAGGCCCAGAGAAGGGCGGGGACACAGGACAGTGTGGACTCTGGTCCGAGAGGAGGCCAGCCGGGCCAGAGCACAGGGAGGACTCCTGGGATTGGGCTTCTGCCAAGCTCAGGTCCCAGGCTCCCAGCTGACTCGGCACTCCAGCGAGAGGCCTGCACCAGGGATCGGGCGTCCAGTCAGCTCCCCGGGCCCGGGGCGGGAGCCGCAGACACCTCTGCCTGCAACAGCCACTGCCGGAGGCCTGGCCCGGAGGCCTCATGGAGAGGCGGGAGCAGGGGCAGCCCTGCAGGGCGGCAGGGGCCAGGCACACAGACATGGAGCTGCAGGCTCTGCTGCTCCCTGTGGTGTTTCAGTTTCCCCAGCAAACCCCCTTCCCAGCCCCATACACCAGGGAACTGCAGTACCCCCTTCCCAGGCCCATACACCAGGGACACCGCAGTACCCCCTTCCCAGCCCCATACACCAGGGAACTGCAGTACCCCCTTCCCAGCCCCATACACCAGAGACACTGCAGTACCCCTCCCCAGCCCCATACACCAGGGAACTGCAGTACCCCTCCCCAGCCCCATACACCAGGGAACTGCAGTACCCCTCCCTAACCCCATACACCGGGGACACTGCAGTATCCCTCCCTAACCCCATACACCAGGGAACCGCAGTACCCCTCCCTAACCCCATACACCAGGGAACTGCAGTATCATTGGTTTATGGGGTTTATTTGCGCCAAACTGACATTATTGAGGACAGGGTTCATCTCCAGGGGGCGGAGGGACAGAGGGGCGGAGGGACAGAGGGGCGGAGGGACAGAGGGGCGGAGGGACAGAGGGGCGGAGGGACAGAGGGGCGGAGGGGTGAGGTTGGGTGGGGTGTGGGGGCCGGTCTGCAGCCCCAGGAGAAGCTGAAGGAGGCGGAGGAAAGCCAGCATCCTCTGCGAGGGCAGCGCCCAGGACGCCGTGCCAGACGGCGCCGGCAAGGCTGGGGTTCTCTGAGCCGTTAGCGGGCTGGCGGCCTGCGGAGGGCGCTCTGACCATGGAGGAACAGCTGGCGGCCGCCGCCCCTGCACTCGCCCCGGGGTCGGGCTGGAGAGCGGCCGGCGCTGCAGGGACTGCTCCAGCGGACCCTGGTGGTGAAGTGCCCGCAGCCCAACCCGGGGCTGGCCGCCCGCGCGGCGCTGAAGGAGGGCAGCCATGCACAGCCAACCGCCCCCAAGGGGACCGTCTGAGCCGGAGGGCCCTGAGCACACCGCCGCCGCCGAGGGGACCGTCTGAGCCGGAGGGCCCTGAGCACACCGCCGCCGCCGAGGGGACCGTCTGAGCCGGAGGGCCCTGAGCACACCGCCGGGAGCCGGGGCCGCGGCCGTTCCTGGGGAGCGGGCCGGAGGGTGCTCACCGCTCCGCTCGGGCCCAGCCTGTGGCTCCTCCGCGCTGGGCACCCGCGGCCTCGGGCAGGACCGAGGCGCAGCCCCAAAGCCTTCCCTCCCCTTTCCGTCACTGACGGACACGGCAAGCGCGCTCCGCGGCCGCCTCCTCCCTGCCGGCCGCCAGCCCGTCCCGCAGGAGAGGGCCTGGGCGCCCCTGCGGCGGGTGCGAGGGGGCCTGGGCCTGGGCCAGGGGAGGCTGCGGCACTGCCCTGCACAGCCGGGGCTGGGGGGCTGGTGAGGAGCGCCGGGCAGGAAGGCAATGTCCGCGGAGGACAGCCCCTGCCGCCTGTCCCCAGCCTCAGCCTGCGATCCCTGGCACACACATTCACACCGACACCCAGCCACACACATTCACACCGACACCCAGGCACACACATTCACACCGACACACACAGCCACACACATTCACACCGACACCCAGCCACACACATTCACACCGACACGCACAGCCACACACATTCACACCGACACACAGCCACACACATTCACACCGACACACACAGCCACACATTCACACCGACACACAGCCACACACATTCACACCGACACGCACAGCCACACACATTCACACCGACACACAGCCACACCCACATTCACACCGACACACACAGACACACATTCACACCGACACACAGCCACACACATTCACACCGACACCCAGGCACACACATTCACACCGACACACACAGCCACAAACATTCACACCGACACACACACATTCACACCGACACCCAGCCACACACATTCACACCGACACCCAGGCACACACATTCACACCGACACACACAGCCACACACATTCACACCGACACCCAGCCACACACATTCACACCGACACGCACAGCCACACACATTCACACCGACACACAGCCACACACATTCACACCGACACACACAGCCACACATTCACACCGACACACAGCCACACACATTCACACCGACACGCACAGCCACACACATTCACACCGACACACAGCCACACCCACATTCACACCGACACACACAGACACACATTCACACCGACACACAGCCACACACATTCACACCGACACCCAGGCACACACATTCACACCGACACGCACAGCCACACACATTCACACCGACACACAGCCACACACATTCACACCGACACACAGCCACACACATTCACACCGACACACACAGCCACACATTCACACCGACACACACATTCACACCGACACACAGCCACACACATTCACACCGACACACACACATTCACACCGACACACACAGACACACATTCACACCGACACACACAGCCACACACATTCACACCGACACACACAGCCACACATTCACACCGACACACACAGCCACACATTCACACCGACACACACAGCCACACATTCACACCGACACACACAGCCACACACATTCACACCGACACACAGCCACACACACATTCACACCGACACACACAGCCACACATTCACACCGACACACACAGCCACACATTCACACCGACACACACACATTCACACCGACACACACAGACACACACATTCACACCGACACCCAGGCACACACATTCACACCGACACACACAGCCACACACATTCACACCGACACACACACAATCACACCGACACACACAGCCACACACATTCACACCGACACACACAGCCACACACATTCACACCGACACACACAGCCACACACATTCACACCGACACACACAGCCACACCCACATTCACACCGACACGCACAGCCACACACATTCACACCGACACACAAAATCACACCCACATTCACACGACACACACAACCACACCCACATTCACACCGACACACACAATCATACCCACACATTCACACCGACACACACAACCACACATTCACACCGACACACACACATTCACACCGACACACACAACCACACACATTCACACCGACACACACAACCACACACATTCACACCGACACACACTATCACACACATTCACAATGACACACAACCACACACATTCACACCGACACACACAGCCACACACATTCACACCGACACACACAGCCACACACATTCACACCGACACACATAACCACACCCACATTCACACTGACACACACAACCACACACATTCACACCAACACACACTATCATACACACATTCACACCGACACACAACCACACACATATTCACACAGACACACACAACCACACACACATTCACACCGACACACACACACATTCACACCGACACACACAATCATACCCACACATTCACTCCGATACACACAACCACACACACATGCACACCGACACACACAATCACACACACATTCACAACGACACACACAATCATACACACAATCACACACACATTCACACCGACACACACAATCGTACCCACACATTCACACTGACACACACAATCACACACACATTCACACTGACAGACACAATCACACACATTCACACTGACACACACAATCATACACACATTCACACTGACACACACAATCATACACACATTCACACCGACACACATAATCACACACACAGTCACACTGACACACACAATCATACACACATTCACACAGACACACACAATCATATACACTCACACATTCACCGACACAACAGAATCATATACACTCACACATTCACACGTACACACACAATCACACACACACACATTCACACTGACACACAGCCTCATACACACATTCACACTGACACACACAATCATACACACATTCACACTGACACACACAATCATACACACATTCACACCGACACACACAATCATACACACATTCACACTGACACACAATCACACTGACATACATAATCATAAACACACAATCACACACATACACACTGACATGCAATCATACATACACATTCACACTGATACACACAACCATTCACACACTGACACATGCCCACATGCATGCACAAAGACACACTGACACACGCCTTCATACATGCATATCCACACCCACATACATGCACACAGTCACACTGACATGCCCCTTCATGCATGCACCAGTCACACTGACACGCACGCACGCACTCACACTTGCTGCCTCAGCAGGGACCTGTGTGGAGGCGGTCTCACAGGCTAGTGCGCATGTGCGCTCCCAGTCCTGCTGCTTAAAGGTGGGGACAGACCTGAGCTGGGTCTCCAGTCGGTGAGCTCCTCCCGTGTGCTTCACTGCACGCGCAGCGCTGCCAGCCACTGGCTGCAGAGCGGGCACCTGCAGACTGGCAGGAAGGAGCTGGGAACAGTCAGAGCCTGGGCACAGCTAACCCCCTGGGCACCTGCTTTTGACTTTTCTGTGGGCTCCAGGCAGACCACCCACCTCAGGATGAACCCCCCTTCAGGACCAAGAGCCCCCCTGGACCCAGCCCGGGAGCCTGGCTGCACGGCCACCCCGGTCTCACCCAGCAGCACCTCCAGCGTGGACCCCCCTCCGCCCACCAGCCCCACGGTAAGCCGGGCGAGCGCCTGTGGGCACACGCCTCCGCCCTCCGTCTGGCCCCTCCTGGGACGCAGAGGGGTGGGTAGGAGGTCGGAGAGGCCTTGCTCTGAGCATGGACGTGCCACTGGCACCGCTGAGCTGCCCTGCAGAGGGGCCTCTGGAGGAGAGTGGGCGCCGGGAGGAAGGGGCTGGGAGCCACCTGCCCCTGGCGCCCCGCTTCCTGCGGAGGCTGGCTGCGGGGCTGGGTCTGTCCAGCCGAGGGGGACCTCCCCCTCATTCCTGCCAGAGTCCGGCCACGCCCACGCCCACACCTGGGGAGGGCGAGAGGACCCTCCGGATCTGGGACAGAGCCTCGAGCCTGGACAGAAGGGGGGGCTCCTGTAGCTACAGAGGCCAGGGCAGGGCGGAGGCTGGGCCAGCTCTCGAAAGGAGGTGGGGAGGCGTCTTCAGATCTCTGTGCCGGCCCCCTGCAGAGACCTGCACGTCCTTCGGTGCCATCTTACCCAGTTATCCTGGGGGGCAATGCCTCTTCCCGGGGGCACTGGAAAGGGGCTCCACCCGCTCCCCCCCCCCCCCCCCAGTCGAGAGCCTGGAACGCCATTGCCAGCTGCCCTGGGGTTCGGAGCAGCCTATGTAGCAGAGGGACCAGCTCAGCGCTGGCTCTGCCTTCTCCTCACAGGAGGTCGAGGCATCCAGCCATGTCCTGCTGCCAGGCGGGTGCAGTCTGTCCTTCAGCCCCACAGGAGATGGGAGCTCTCCCAGAAGCCTTAGCCCTGGGCCGGCGTGAGCGTTTGGGCTCGGCTTTAGGGAGACCTGCCTTCCCGTTTCGCCAGCCCCGCCAGCTGAGCGAGAGGCGCCCTCGGAGCCTGCCCTCTCTGCAGGGCAGTCTGGAGAGGACAGGGTAACGGGCTCCGTTCTCTGACTCCCGCAGGCGGCCGGGGCGCAGGCCGCGGCCTGGGCCTTCCCCACCGTGGACGTGCCGGACCACGCCCACTACACCCTGGGCGCGGTGATCCTGCTGGTGGGCCTCACCGGGATGCTGGGCAATCTGACCGTCATCTACACCTTCTGCAGGTGCCTGGGGTGAGGTGGGGCCTGGCCGCGAGGCAGCCAGCCACGCACAGGGCACACGCAGCACTGCTGAGCTCGCGCAGCGAGGCCAAGGCCGGACCCTCCATCTTTAGGCCAGGAAGGGGGCCCAAAAGCAGTCCAGGCAGCTCAGGTGGCAGTGCCCATTGGGCCCGGGCACGCCCTCTGCACAGGGCGCCCCTCCCCAGGACCTCAGTTCCTGCCCGTCCTGCCTGCTGTCAGCTCACCTCCGCAATCACATGCCCATGGGCATCCTCCTTCTGCCTCAGAGAGCAGCCCGTGCACCCGCCCGGAGCCCTCAAGCCCCTCTTAACGCCCGCCCGCCCACCCTCCTTCCCTCCCTCCCTCCCTCCCTTCCTCCTTCCCTCCCTCCCTCCCCCCTCCCTCCCTCCCCCCTCCCTCCCCCCCTCCCTCCCCCCCTCCCTCCCCCCCTCCCTCCCTCCCCACTCCCTCCCTCCCCCCTCCCTCCCTCCCCACTCCCTCCCTCCCCACTCCCCCCCTCCCTCCCTCCCTCCCTCCCTCTCCCGCCTGCTCACAGGCCGAATGGTGGAGACAGACAGGCAGGGAAGGGGGCCCTCGCTTCGGCTCTGAGGGAGGTGGCGGCGTGCCAGGCCTCCCGTGAGCACGTCCTGCCTGCAGAGTGGGGCTGGCTCTCCCGCACGGAGCCCATGCCAGGGTGAGGGATGGCTGCGCAGTGGGGCTGTGTGGAGCCTGCTGTGCCGCTTGCTGGGCGTGGTGATCCGGGGCCATACACCGGCGGGGCCTTGGTGTTCTCATCTGGAAAATGGGTGGGAGATGAGGGCCTCCTGTGGAGCCAGCGCAGCTCCGTGCCCAGCCCCCGGCCCCCGGCCCCCGGCCCCCGGCCCCAGAGGGGAGGAGTGAGGGCACAGCTGCGCTGAGCAGGCCCAGCCTGAGAGCGGACGGAGGGGAGGAGGTGCCTGAGGAAGAAGGGGCACCGTCCGCATGGGCACGCGGGAAGAGGGAACTTGGCCTGCAGGGGCCGGGGAAGTGAGTGTCCGAGGAGGGTGTGGCCAGGCACAGGGCGAACGGAGGGTGAGAGTGGACACCACAGCCGCTCCCGAGGCTGAGCGGAGGCTCAGGCCTGCTCTCCCTTCCCTCTGCCTGAGCCGCCCTCGGAGACAGGCTCTCGCTGCTCAGCTGCACCCCGGGCTCCACAGCTGCTTGCGAGGCAGCCAGAGACTCAGCTGCATGTCTGTATAGTGCGCACGAGTGCATGTGTGTGCATGTGTGTGCGTTTGTGCATGTGTGTGTGTGTGTGTGTGTGTGTGCCCGTCGTGGAGGGGGCTCCTGGCAGAAACGCCCTGACAGTGCCGCCCCCACAGGAGCAGAGGCCTGAGGACGCCAGCCAACATGTTCATCATCAACCTGGCGGTCAGCGACTTCCTCATGTGCTTTACGCAGGCGCCCGTGGTCTTCGCCAGCAGCCTGCACAAGCGCTGGCTCTTCGGGGAGGCAGGTAGGCCCCGGCCGCTGCGGAGGCGAAGGCGTGGCCGGGCTCCCGTGTGCCGGTGCCGGGAGGAGGTGGCGGAGTGAGCCCAGGGGAGCTCAGGCTCCGTGCGAGGCCCGCCACCTCTGCCAGAGCTGCGGGGAGGCGGGGAGAGGCTCAGCACACGCTGGGCAGGGGCGGCCGGGGCAGCGCCTTCCCAGGCCTCACTCCCTGGTTCTGCTGGGCTCCTGCCCAGGCTGAGTCGGAGCCGTGTCCGCAGGCTGTGAGTTCTATGCCTTCTGTGGGGCTCTCTTTGGCATCACCTCCATGATCACCCTCACGGCCATTGCCCTGGACCGCTACCTGGTGATCACGCGCCCACTGGCCATCGGCGTGGTGTCCAAGAGGCGGGCGGCGCTGGTCCTGCTGGGCGTCTGGCTCTACGCCCTGGCCTGGAGCCTGCCGCCTTTCTTTGGCTGGAGTGAGTGGCTGTGGGGGCCGGGGTGCAGGGGTGGTGGTCTGGGGGACATACCAAGGGCAGGGCGGTAGAGGTGGGTTGGCCCGCTGGCAGAAAGGGTCCAGGCGGCTGCCTGAGCCTCAAGGCAGATGACCCTCAGGGGCCTGACTCACAGCAGGGGAAACTGAGGCAGCAGCATCAGCTCTCCAAAGATGACCGGGCTCCCATCCCTCAGTATAGGGAAGCCCATGTGGTCCTGGGTGCGGGAAGGGAGGTGGAGTTCGCAGGGAGTCAGACAGGCTGAGGGTCAGCAGCAGGAGGGTTGGCAGCAAAGGCAGTGGCCTCTGTGGGGCAGGACCAGAAAGTGGGCTGAAGCGGGAGGAGTAGGACCCTGGGGCTCTGGTGAGGCCCCTGGCAAGGATGGGCAGCGTGGGCTTTGCCGGCTGGGCTGCGGCCAGTGCTCCGGGCCCCCAGGCCCCACACCCAAAGCCCCTGCTCGGTGGGGAGCCTGTGTGGGCACTGCCCAGACGCTGAGAGCCGCCTGCCTGCCTCCCAGGTGCCTACGTGCCCGAGGGCCTGCTGACCTCCTGCTCCTGGGACTACATGAGCTTCACGCCCTCTGTCCGCTCCTACACCATGCTGCTCTTCTGCTTCGTGTTCTTCCTCCCCCTGCTGGTCATCATCTACTGCTACGTCTTCATCTTCAGGGCCATTCGGGAGACAGGCCAGTAAGAGCTGGGCTTGGAGGAGGGTGGGGGAGGGGCCGTGCTCCTTCTCTAGAGGCTCCCATCTGCGCCCCCCACGGGCACCGAGCTCCAGATGGGCGAAGCACACTGAGCCCGGTGCTGGTGGGGCAGGTGTCCGGAGAGGTTTCAGGAGAGGGGTCTTCTGAGGGGGCTTTTAGGCACGTCAGGAGGTCGGGGGCGTGGGGCAGAGAAGACATGGCAGGTGGAACCCAGCGTGGCAGCTTAGCAGGATGCAAAGGAGAACTTTCGGGGTGTCAGGGCTGCCGGCTCAGGCCAGGACCCTGGCACCCACTGCGACCCAAGGGGGGTCAGACCCGGACTCTGCCCCCTCCCCAGGGCTCTCCAGACGTTCGGAGCCTGCGAGGGCCGCAGTGAACCGCCCCGACAGCGGCAGGGGCTGCAGAGTGAGTGGAAAATGGCCAAGATTGTGCTGCTGGTCATTCTTCTCTTTGTGCTCTCCTGGGCCCCCTACTCCACCGTGGCCCTGATGGCCTTTGCTGGGTGAGCAACAGTGAAGGGCTGCGGGGTGTGAAGGGGGAGGGACGGAGGGACTCCGGGCAGACTCTCCCTCCCTAGCCCCAGCACAAGCCAGCTGTGCTTACACGGGAAGGCTGGCCTCCAGATTCTCCCCCTGCTGTGAGATGTTCCCCTGCGGGGCCCACCCGGTCCCCAGGCCACCCTCATGGGCATGGAGGGCCTGTGAATGGGGTGTCATCTCTTGTGTATGCATGAGGGCGGGGGGACGCTCCCGCAGCTGGATGGGCCTGAGTGCCTGTGAGGGCTGCGGGTCCTGCCGGGGCCTGGCATCCATGGCTCTCCGGGGGCTCTGATCCCTCTCCAGCTGGGGCTCCGGCCCTTATGGCGAGAGCTGGGGACTCTGATGTTTGCAGCGTGGACGCAGACCAGAGATCAGAAGCCCTGGCGAGGCAGGGAGAGCTCTGAACCCTGGGCAGTGGTGGGCGTGCGACCGCCTTGCACACGGCCGCCTGTGAAGTCACTCTCAGAGCCAGCAGCTGCGGCATCAGGGCTGGGTGCGGCGTGGGAGGAGCTGAGCAGAGGACCAGCATCAGGGGGTGGCGAGAGCTTATTGCTGGCAGCACGGGCTCCAAGGGACAGTGAAAGCCTGCCTGGCACATCTCCCTCCTAGACCCCCTTTCACTGCTCTCCCGGGCCCTGTGGCACTGCAGTCCCACCGCTGGGGCTGACGGCCCGCTGGTTGGGGCCGGGCTGGGCTGTGCCGTGGCAGGCCTGGCCTAGAGGAAGATGCCCGAGGGGCGGTGGGCGGGATCTCTGGGGAGGAGTGGCGGCAAGGAGACCCCAGCTTCTCTGTCCTAGGTACGCTCACGTCCTGACGCCCTACATGAACTCAGTGCCAGCCATCATCGCCAAGGCCTCTGCCATCCACAACCCTATCATCTACGCCATCACCCACCCCAAGTACAGGTGCAGCCCCAGGCCCCAGGCCGCCCTCATGGGCATGGAGGGCCTGCGAATGGAGTGTCTTCCCTGTTTCTTGTGTGTGCATGAGGGGGGGGGGGGGCGGCTGGGACCAGCCGGTGACAGAGTGTGGGCCTGGGACCTGGGGCCACAGTGACCTGCTGCCGCTCCACCTCCTGGGACTCAGCCTGGGGGAATCAGGGCTCCTGGGCACGGCTAATCCTGGGGGTGTCTGGAGCCGAGGCCAGAAGGCAGCTGGCGTGGCTGATGAGCAGCGCTGCCCCTTCAGGGAAAACCCCGACAGCGACCCCTGGACAGAGCCAGCAGGGGAGCTCCCCTTGGAGGGCACTGGCAGGCGGGCATGGTGCTGCCAGAGTGCTCCCGCCGAGCAGTCCGGCGCTCTGGCCTCTCCCGCCAGAGGCCTCGCTGCTCCCTTTTGCTGGTGGAGTCAGTGACCCACCCTGTGGGCCAGCCGCAGCCTCAGCCAGAGACGTGCTGGAGCCGAGGGCTGGAGCCGAGCACCCGCTGAACCTGCTGCTCTAAGGCTCTCCCTCCATGCCCATGGCCCAGCATCTGTCTGTCTGTCCCCAGTCCTGTGAGTCTGTCCATATCCTTCACCTCAGCATCTGCCTGTCCTTTGTCATCACTTCTCATGACTCCCAGTGTCTTTCTGTCCGTTCCCAAGACCCCATCAGTTGTGCCCATGACCCCAATGTCTGAACTCCCCATTTCCTGTGGTTCTCTTCCCACCCCCTCAGCCTGTACCAGCCCGTCTACTCATCCCCGTCTCCTTTCTGTCCTCTGTCCACACCTCTGCCTAACCGCTGTGCCTCCTGCAGAATGGCCATCGCCCAGCACCTGCCCTGCCTAGGCCTGCTGCTGCGGGTGTCGGGGCAGCGCGCCGGCTCTTACGCCAGCTACCGCTCCACCCACCGCTCCACGCTGAGCAGCCAGGCCTCAGACCTCAGCTGGGTGTCCCGACGGAGACGCCAGGAGTCCGTGGGCTCTGAGAGTGAGATGGTAAGAACGCCGGGCCACCCCTTCCTCAGCCAGGCCAGCCTCGGGCCTCTGGCCGGAGCTGCTGCAGGACACTGGGACACGGTGGAAGCGCCCCCAGCCCCGCTCCATTCCAGCTTTCTCAGGCATCATCCTCCCTGATGGGGAGGGCACTGAGGCCAGAGAAGCGGCAGGTGGGCCCGAGGCCACCCAGCAGCAAGGCCAGAGCTGAGCAGGGCTCTCCCACTCCGGTGTCTGCTCCAGCTGGCACTACCCCTCAGAGCAGGGTTCTCAACCTTCCTGATGCCGCGACCACAGGCTGAGAACTGAGACCATCAGAAAACAGATATTTACATTATGATTCATAAAGGGACAAAATTACACTTGTGAAGTAGTAAGGAAAATAACTTTATGGTTGGGGTCACCGCCACATGAGGAGCTGTGTTAAAGGGCCACGGCATTAGGAAGGTTGAGAACCACCGCTTAGAGCCACAGATGGAAAAGACTAGCATCTCTGGGCCCAGATGAGCCTCCAGAGACAGATAGGGGCTGGCTCAGGGCCCTGTTCTCAGCGCGAGCCCGTCCTCCGGGAGCCCTGCAGAGCAAGGAGCTCAGCCTGGTGCAAGCCTTCAGCTCCATCACGCGCTACCGGGAGCCTGGCTCACCCTCTGACCCCTGTCCTTCCCCGAAACAGTCACCTCCATGTCCACAACTGGCTGGGGTGACACTGTGGATATAGCCCCAGAGCCTGCTGCCCGCCGCGGGGTCTGGAGCTGTGATGCTGTCTGAGTCCCCTGCTCCTCCGCACGGTGCCTGCAGGTCCTCCTCCTCCTCCCACTGCCCCCCCCCCCCGGGGTCTCTTCCCTGAACCACTGCAGCCGGAGACATGGAGGAGGGAAGCTCATTTGTCAACAGAGGTCCAGAGCTCCCTGAAGACACCCCTTCCCACTTGGTTAGAAGGCGCGCACTGTAGGGATTTGGTGACCAGTATACGGTACCCAAGTCCATATGGTGGGAGGATGGAGCAGGCCTGGGGGAGGGGCAGGAGCAAACTGCCTCCCTCTCCCCTCCCAGGGCTGGACGGACACAGAGGCGGCGGCCATATGGGGGGCTGCCCAGCAAGGGAGCGGCCTGGCCCCCTGCGGTCAGGGCCTAGAGGACATGGAAACCCAGGCCCCTGCCCAGTCCCCAGCCACGTCCCTCGGACACGCAGCAGAGGATCCCCGGAAGGTGATGGAGACACGGGCAAGGAGCCCAGGGGGTGGCCGGGAGAGCGGGGCTGTCCTGTCCCCCAGCTTCCCCTTCCCGCCTGGTGGGCCTGGGAGTCTAAGGCTGCCAGATGCTCTGAGCAGGCCTGGGAGTGTCTGTGACTGTGGCTGGCACACGAGGCAGTCGTGGTGGGGCCTGTGCTGGGACAGACGCTCACATGAGTGCTGGTGTGTGACCTGCACCCGCACACGCTGTCCCTGCCACACACAGGGGCGGAGCGCCCCCTGCTGGTCTCTCTGAGCTCTGCGTGTCACCAGGTACGGGGGTGCGGGCTCTGCAGCTGGAGGCAGGCTTACCTGGGTGGGTGCTGCAGGCGTGTGTGCTCGCTGTCAGGCCCTGGGCCAGGGTGTCGCCAGAACAGCGGCTATTAAAGGAAAGCCAGCTGTCAGCCAGGGCCTATGGAACGGCATGTGGCGGCGATTAGAGAAGCCGCATTCTGGAACATGGAAATGCCACACGCACAGGCCCCAGGCTGCCCTGCTCCACCGCCCTCACTCCCCCACACAGCACCCCAGCTCGGGCTTCCCCAGCAAGGCCAGGCCCACAGGCACTTTTCTGCCCTTCTCCCAGGGCAGCCTGTCCCGGGGGGGGGGGGGGGCTCCTCGGCAGGCTCCCAGCAGGTGCCAAGCACAGCCACTGAGGACCAGCACACAGGTGTGGAAGCAGCGGCCAGTCCCCGCAGGGGGATTGCCAGGCAGAGTGGGGAGCCAGGGTCCAGGCTGAGGGAACAGCTGGTGTGAACGAGGGGCCCAGGGTCACTCAGGGTCCTGGGACACAATGTTGCCCTGTGACCTCAAGCAGCCAAGGGCCTGGGAGCTGGGGAGGGGGGGGTGTGTGGAAGAGGGCAGCAGAGGATAGGAGCCTTGGGAAGCCTCTCAAGTGCTGGCCAGAGGGCTCTCCAGGCAGGGCTGCGGGAGGAGCCCCGGGGGAGGGGCCTGCTGCCACGCCAGCCCTCTGTGTGGTCCACAAGGACAGGCTGAGTGAGCTGCAGCAGAGCCCGAGGACACAGTGTTTCGGCCACAGGACAGAGGTGTGGAGGAGCAGAGGGAGGTGTGGGGGAGCAGAGGGAGGTGTGGAGGAGCAGAGGGAGGTGTGGGGGAGCAGAGGGAGGAGGTGTGGAGGAGCAGAGAGTTGTGTGGAGGAGCAGGAGGTGGGAGTGTGGAAGAGTAGAGGGAGGAGGTGTGGAGGAGCAGAGGGAGGTGTGGAGGAGCAGAGGGAGGTGTGGAGGAGCAGAGGGAGGTGTGGAGGAGCAGAGGGAGGTGGGGGGAGCAGAGGGAGGAGGTGTGAAGGAGCAGAGGGAGGTGTGGGGGAGCAGAGGGAGGAGGTGTGGGGGAGCAGAGGGAGGTGTGGGGAGCAGAGGGAGGAGGTGTGGAGGAGCAGAGGGAGGAGGTTTGGAGGACCAGAGGGAGGAGGTGTGGAGAAGTAGAGCGAGGAGGTGTGGGGAGCAGAGGGAGGAGCTGTGGGGGAGCAGAGGGAGGAGGTGTGGGGGAGCAGAGGAAGGTGTGGAGGAGCAGAGGGAGGAGGTGTGGGGGAGCAGAGGGAGGAGGTGTGGACCAGAGGGAGGTGTGGAGGAGCAGATGAGGAAGTTTGGAGGAGCAGAAGGAGCTGGTGTGAAGGAGCAGGGGGAGGTGTGGAGGAGCAGAGGGTGGTGTGGAGGAGCAGGGGGTGGGCGTGTGGAAGAGCAGAGGGAAGAGGTGTGGAGGAGCAGAGGGAGGTGTGTGGGAGCAGAGGGAGGAGGTGTGTGGGAGCAGAGGGAGGAGGTGTGGGGGAGCAGAGGAAGGTGTGGGGGAGCAGAGGAAGGTGTGGAGGAGCAGAGGGAGGAGGTGTGGGGGAGCAGAGGGAGGAGGTGTGGACCAGAGGGAGGTGTGGAGGAGCAGATGAGGAAGTTTGGAGGAGCAGAAGGAGCTGGTGTGAAGGAGCAGGGGGAGGTGTGGAGGAGCAGAGGGTGGTGTGGAGGAGCAGGGGGTGGGCGTGTGGAAGAGCAGAGGGAAGAGGTGTGGAGGAGCAGAGGGAGGTGTGTGGGAGCAGAGGGAGGAGGTGTGTGGGAGCAGAGGGAGGAGGTGTGGGGGAGCAGAGGAAGGTGTGGAGGAGCAGAGGGAGGAGGTGTGGAGGAGCAGAGGGAGGAGGTGTGGACAAGAGGGAGGTGTGGAGGATAAGAGGGAGGTGTGGAGGAGCAGATGAGGAAGTTTGGAGGAGCAGAAGGAGCTGGTGTGAGGGAGCAGGGGCAGGTGTAGAGGAGCAGAGGATGGTGTGGAGGAGCAGGGGGTGGGCGTGTGGAAGAACAGAGGGAAGAGGTGTGGAGGAGCAGAGGGAGTTGTGGGGGAGCAGAGGGAGGAGGTGTGGGGGAGCAGAGGGAGGAGGTGTGGGAGAGCAGAGGGAGGTGTGGAGGAGCAGAGGGAGGTGTGGGTTAGCAGAGGGAGGAAGTGTGGAGGAGCAGAGGGAGATGTGGGGGAGCAGAGGGAAGTGTGGGGGAGCAGAGGGAGGAGGTGTGGAGGAGCAGAGAAAGGAGGTGTGGAGGAGCAGAAGGAGGAGGTGTGGAGGAGCAGAGGGAGTTGTGGAGGAGCAGAGAGAGGAGGTGTGGAGGAGCAGAGGGAGGAGGTGTGGGGGAGCAGAGGGAGGTGGAGGAGCAGATGGAGGTGTGAAGGAGCAGGGGGAGAAGGTGTGCGGGAGCAGAGGGAGGTGTGGATGAGCAAAGGGAGGAGGTGTAGAGGAGCAGAGGGAGGAGGTGTGGGTCCAGAGGGAGGAGTGGAGGATCAGAGGGAGGTGTGGAGGAGCAGATGAGGAAGTTTGGAGGAGCAGAAGGAGCTAGTGTGAGGGAGCAGAGAGAGATGTGGAGAAGCAGAGAGTTGTGTGGAGGAGCAGGGGGTTGTGGTGAGGAAAAACAGACGGAGGAGGTGTGGAGGAGCAGAGGGAGGAGGTGTGGAGGAGCAGAGGGAGGTGTGGAGGAGCAGAGGGAGGTGTCGGGGAGCAGAGGGAGGAGGTGTGTAGGAGCAGAGGGAGGAGTTGTGTAGGAGCAGAGGGAGGAGGTGTGGGGACCAAAGGGAGGTGTGGAGGATCAGAGGGAGGTGTGGGTTAGCAGAGGAAGGAGGTGTGGAGGAGCAGAGGGAGGTGTGGAGGAGCAGAGAGAGGAGGTGTGGAGGAGCAGAGGGAGGTGTGGAGGAGCAGAGGGAAGAGGCGTGGAGGATCAGAAGGAGGTGTGGAGGAGCAGAGGGTGGAGGTGTAGAGGAGCAGAGGGTGGAGGTGTAGAGGAACAGAGGGAGGAGGTGTGGAGGAGCAGAGAGAGGAGGTGTGGAGGAGCAGAGGGAGGAGGTGTGGAGGAGCAGAGGGAGGTGTGGAGGAGCAGAGAGAAGAGGTGTGGAGGAGCAGAGGGTGGAGGTGTAGAGGAACAGAGGGAGGAGGTGTGGAGGAGCAGAGGGAGGAGGTGTGGAGGAGCAGAGGGAGGAGGTGTGGAGGACCAGAGGGAGGAGGTGTGGGGGAGCAGAGGGAGGAGGTTTGGAGGAGCAGAGGGAGTTGTGGGGTGCAGAGGGAGGAGGGCCGCAGCACAGTGAGAGAAATGAGGGGTGTGGTGGAATGGACAGTGGGTGGAGGGACCTCAGTTCAGACTCGGGAGCCGGGAGCCTGGGGGGGCCCTGCAGGCAGCCCAGACACCTCTGGCTCCATCTCTCAGGCCATGTGGTGTGGCAGAGTCGGCCCCACTGACCCGGACAGGATCACCTGTGCTCAGGTGCTCTCCTCCACTGCAGAGGCTGCAGGAGGACGCTCCCTCGGGAGGGGGAGGGGATGGGGTGAGGAGGGGATGGGGGACAGTCTTGGGCTGACAGATGGTGTTGCTTGTTTTTCAGACCAAGGGGCTGCTCCCTAGCCTGGACCCCAGGACGTAGGCCCTGGCTCTCCTTTCTTTCTGGAACACGTCCCCCGAGGCCCTCACACAGACCCAGGATCTCTCTGGGCAGCCTGCTCCCCGGGCTCAGCCTGAGGAGGGCCGGCCACCTGCTTCCAGGCGCTGCTCCCCATGAGCTCCGTGTGTGTGTGTGTGTGTGTGTGTGTGTGTGTGTGTGTGTGACTGTTCCGTGTGTGTGTGTGTGTGTGTGTGACTGCTCCCTGTGAGCTCCGTGTGTGTGTGTGTGTGTGACTGCTCCCCGTGAGCTCCGTGTGTGTGTGTGAGTGAGTGTGTGTGTAACTGCTCCCCGTGAGCTCCGTGTGTGTGTGTGTGTCTGTGTGTGTGTGTGACTGCTCCGTGTGTGTGTGTGTGTGTGTGTGACTGCTCCTTGTGAGCTCTGTGTGTGTGTGTATGTGTGTGTGACTGCTCCGTGTTTGTGTGTGTGTGTGACTGCTCCGTGTGTGTGTGTGTGACTGCTCCGTGTGTGTGTGTGTGTGTGACTGTTCTGTGTGTGTGTGTGTGACTGCTCCGTGTGTGTGTGTGTGACTGCTCCGTGTGTGTGTGTGTGACTGTTCTGTGTGTGTGTGTGTGTGTGACTGCTCCGTGTGTGTGTGTGTGTGTGTGACTGCTCCGTGTGTGTGTGTGTGTGTGTGTGACTGCTCCGGGTGTGTGTGTGTGTGTGTGTGACTGCTCCGTGTGTGTGTGTGTGTGACTGCTCCGTGTGTGTGTGTGTGTGACTGCTCCGTGTGTGTGTGTGTGTGTGTGTGTGTGACTGCTCCGGGTGTGTGTGTGTGTGTGACTGCTCCGTGTGTGTGTGTGTGTGTGTGACTGCTCCGGGTGTGTGTGTGTGTGTGTGTGTGTGTGACTGTTCTGTGTGTGTGTGTGTGTGTGACTGCTCCGGGTGTGTGTGTGTGTGTGTGTGTGTGACTGCTCCGGGTGTGTGTGTGTGTGTGTGTGTGTGTGTGACTGCTCCGGGTGTGTGTGTGTGTGTGTGTGTGACTGCTCCGGGTGTGTGTGTGTGTGTGACTGCTCCGGGTGTGTGTGTGTGTGTGACTGCTCCGGGTGTGTGTGTGTGTGTGTGTGTGACTGCTCCGTGTGTGTGTGTGTGTGTGTGTGTGTGTGACTGCTCCGGGTGTGTGTGTGTGTGTGTGTGACTGCTCCGTGTGTGTGTGTGTGTGTGACTGCTCCGGGTGTGTGTGACTGCTCCGTGTGTGTGTGTGTGTGTGTGTGTGTGTGTGTGACTGCTCCGGGTGTGTGTGTGTGTGTGTGTGACTGCTCCTTGTGAGCTGAGTGTGTGTGTGTGTGTGTGTGTGTGTGACTGCTCCGGGTGTGTGTGTGTGTGTGTGTGTGTGTGACTGCTCCGGGTGTGTGTGTGTGTGTGTGTGTGTGTGAGACTGCTCTGAGTGTGTATGTGTGTGTGTGTGTGACTGCTCCGGGTGTGTGTGTGTGTGTGACTGCTCCGGGTGTGTGTGTGTGTGTGTGTGTGTGTGACTGCTCCGGGTGTGTGTGTGTGTGTGTGTGACTGCTCTGTGTGTGTGTGTGTGTGTGTGTGTGTGTGTGTGACTGCTCCGGGTGTGTGTGTGTGTGTGTGTGTGTGACTGTTCCGTGTGTGTGTGTGTGTGTGTGTGTGTGTGTGAGTGTGTGTGTGTGACTGCTCCGTGTGTGTGTGTGTGTGTGTGTGTGTGTGTGACTGCTCCGGGTGTGTGTGTGTGTGTGTGTGTGTGTGACTGCTCCGTGTGTGTGTGTGTGTGTGTGTGTGTGTGTGACTGCTCCGGGTGTCACTGCTGGGTGATGGCCGTGGCGACGCTCCACGGGGCCACCGCGGCTGCCTGCCCGGCGGGCGTGTCTCGGGCCCAGGCGGCCGGCACGGCCCCTCGGCGGCGCTGAGCTGCTCCTGGCCTCGGCTTCCCCGCAGCTGCCGCGCCACGCTCCGCACTCGCTCGGGCGCACCGCCTGTGACCCCCCCCCCCCCCACGCGCGGCGCCTCGCCCGCTGAGCTGCTCCGCCGGGAGGGAAATAAAGCAGAGTCGCCACAAACTCGGTCTTGTCTGTCGATGCCACAGGGAGGAAGCTGCAGGCCTGGGGGGCCACAGCAGTGTCTTCCTCCCCTCTTCTCCCCACCGTGACTCCTCCCGGAGCTCCTATCAGACTGGGGGCGAGGGGGCAGAGCGGAGCGGGGACAAGATCAGGCTTCCCCAGCCTGCGGTACCAGCTGCTCAGTGGCTGTCCGGGGTCTCAGGGGAGGCAGATGGGCTGTGTGGGGGGGTCATTCCTACCAGCCCGCCTTCCCCATGGCAGCACCAGCAGGTGCCCAGCTCCAGAGAAGAGCCTCATCTCCAGGTCCAGCCTGCCCGTGGCCTCCTCCCTCCTTCCTCAGCCCACACTGCTCCTGCCCGGCCTCCAGCCGGGGAGGCCAGACCTCCTAGGAGAGGGGACAGGCTGGGATAGGACAGAGGGATGGGCGGGGAAGGGCAGGGCTGGTATGAGGGAGGGAAGGGTGCTCCGAGCTGCTGGCCTCCCGCCAGGCGCAGCAGGGAGGACCGGCTGGGCTGCATGGCACAGGCAGAGGAGGTGGTAACGTGAGGAAGGAGCCAGGCCCTCCTCGGCTTCTTTCAAGCGGCCGTGCTGTGATCTCGGGCCAGCTACACGGTGCTCCGTGATGCGGGGACTCCTGGCACCAGCACGCTGTCTGTGCCGGGCCCAAGGCCTGAGGCGTGGTGCTGGCACCAGGAAATTACTCGCTCACACCCGGTGCTTGGGGCCCAGCCCAGGCCAGAGCCCTGCGGGAAGGCCAGAGCACAGCAAACCAGCTGCCTTCCCTGAGCCTCAGTTTCCCCAGCCAGGCGTCAGGCCCAGACGAGCCGGGGCCTGAGGTCTCTGCTGGGTAAGGCTTCTGAAGGCATCCTGGCCAAAGGCCGTGAGGCTGGCAGGAGTCCAAGGGTACGAGGCCCTCCCAGAACACGCTGTCTCTGGCTTATGGGCTGAGCACACTGAGCACGCCGCCCTCCCCGCCCCCTGGCCCCGTGTCCCAGCAGCTGAGCAAATGGCATCTCCTCTCCTCCTCCCTGCCCCCTGCCATTCCGGCGCAAAGGGCACAGGCCCTGACGTGCCCGCTGGCAACTGGAGCTTTCCATGCCGCTGTCAGGTTTCCAGCGCAGGAGAGCCAGGAATAGCCCCTGGCCCGAGGGTCTGGGCGGCGTGCGCCTGCGGGGGCCTGCTTTCAGGCCCTGTGCCGAGGGGTCAGGCAGGACCCCCGAGGCGGGGCATTGGGAGGCATCTGTGGCCACTGGGAGCCCGTTTCTGGAACGAGTGCCGTGGGAATTAGCCCAGCTCCATCCGCCTGCGGCCCCCCTCGTGGCCTTGGGAAAGGCCCTTCACCCCGGGGCCGGCTCCGAGGCACCGCCTCCCGGGCTGAGGGGCTGAGCGTGTGAAGGGCGGGGGCCGGGGGCGAGCGCCGTGCCCACAGCTGCTGCTGTTAGGATGAGCTGTTAATCCTCACCCAAGGGGATTGTTTCCACTGGTTTTTCAGAGAGTAGCAGGGGAGAGGAAGAGAAAGAGAAAAACATCCATCGTCTATCTCCCACTTTGCCCTGACCAGCTGGGCCAGTGGTTGAACCGTAACCACGTGCCCTTGACCAGGAGTCAAACCTGCAGTCCTCCGGCGCTCGGCTGACACCCGAAACACGGAGCGCGCAGGCCGGGGCGTGACGGTGGCCGCCGTGGCTGCACCTCCCGGGCAGGGGCTGGCCTCGGAGCTGAGGCTCTGTGCAGGCGGCTGAGGCTCACGGGGCCAAGCACCACCACACAGAGCACAGGGCAGCAGAACCGGACCCAAAGCCCTGCCAGGGGCTCAGCTGTGGTCTCCGGGCCAGGGCTGGTGCAGCGGGGGAGAGCGTGCGTCCTGCCTCTGGTTAGAGGGAGCGAGGAGGGGAGGGCAGGAGGGAGAGCCAGTCCCCGTCCTGCCCGGGGTGCTGGGTGCTGGACACCCCTCCCCAGGGGCTATATTAGCCGCATGAGTCACGGTGGACGGCTTGGGAGGCCTGGGCGGGCGGGCACAGTGTAGGGTTACAGTCCATTTATGGGCGCAGCAGAGGGCAGATATCAGTGTCGATGGCATTTGTTCCCAGCTATTCTTAGGAGCCTCTCAGGAGCGCACACAGCCAGGGACAGAGCAGGCACGCCGGGGTCGGGGTCGGGGCTGGGACAGGGGCAGAGCTGGGCCGGGGAGGGTGTGCGAGGCCTCACTCCGCTCCTCCTGTCCGCAGAGGCTGCCGCCGTCCGCACCAGCATGTCTTACAGCGTGACCCTGGCCGGGCCCGGGCCCTGGGGCTTCCGTCTGCAAGGGGGGAAGGACTTCAACATGCCGCTCACCATCTCCCGGGTGAGTGCGCTGCCCACGGCTGGCCGCGGGGGTGGCACGTTCGGAAAACGGTGTGTCTGTCGTCTGTCCATCTTCCTCGAGGCTCTTGAAAATCAGAGCACACCTCACCCGCTGGGGGCTGGGATTGGCGCCAGCTGAATGCTGCCGGCCACAGACCCCGGTCTCTGCCACAGCTGTTTCCTGCCGAACTGGCCAGCCTGCGAAACGTGGAATGTAATGGCCAAGCTGAGAAGGGCTGGCAGGCAAGGGAAGGGAGGACAGCCCCTTCTCGGCAGGGTGGGCTCCGGGTGCCCCAGGCCTGGAGCGTCTCCCTGGAAGTGGGCTCTGGGGAGGGAGCACCCGCAGGGTGGAGCTGGCAGCTAACGGGGGTGGATAGGTAGAATGGTCTGCTGCCCACCTCGGCTGTCAGGGCTCAGGGCTCAGGGCTCAGGGCTCAGGGCTGGTTACTGAGCTCCAGCACCCACTCTGTCTCAGACCCAAGACTGCAGTCCCCTCCCGCCTCCCTGGCTGGCCAGTACCTTGCATGGCTGCCCCTTCCTCAGGCTGCTCACCGGCCTGTCCACATCTATTCCCAGGCCCACCCACCCGCCCGCCCCCGTGCTGCCGGGCCTGGGGTCTGCCGGATCGGGAACACCCCGCCCAGGGCGCGTCACAGACTGCTGACGGCTGGGGTGCTGACGCCCGTGAGAGGAGCAGCTAGAGCTGAGGAGGGAGCCTTGCCGCCGGGGGCCCGGCGCCCACCCGGGGGCCCGAGCACGGCAGATGCTCAGGCAGCGTTTGTCAGGCAGAGGGACCCTCCAGGTCCGCAGAGCCGGGGCTGAGGCCTGGGCCAGGGCGACTGTGAGGTGTGCGTTCAGCCCCCAGCAGTGCGGTGTGGCAGAGGGGCAGGCGGAGGCCCGCTGTCACTGGAGGCTGGTGGGTGGTTGCTGCCCACCTGGAAGGTAGCTTTGTCTCGGGACAAGGAAGCACCGAGGTGGAAAGCTGCTTGGCAGAGAGGCAGGAAGCCAATGCCCCATTGCAAGAGGAGTCCTGGCCGTGGGCCCTTCGAGGGACCCCGAGGAAAGCCCCTCAGGGTGCTAGGGAGGCTGCATTTCTCGGGGGTGGGTGCTGGCCCGGGAAATGGCCTCAGCCTCCCTCGTCCTGGAGAGCTGGCTCATTCCAGCCTGAGCCCGCGCCCTTCAGACGAGGGGCCGGGAGCAGGGGTCATACTGAAAGGACAGCCAAGGCTGGCACACCTGCCCTGGGCGTGGTGACACGGCCTCCGAGCCCAGGACACCCGCACGTTGCTACCCCAAGGCTGCAGTCTCCTTCCTTCCACTCTCACTCTCACGGTCCCCTGGCCACTCCAACCCTGCCCCAGCCCTGCCCCAGCCCAGCCCCAGCCCAGCCCCAGCCCTGCCCCAGCCCTGCCCCAGCCCTGCCCCAGCCCAGCCCCAGCCCAGCCCCAGCCCAGCCCTAGCCCCACCATCCTCAAGGCCTCCTCCCGGTGCTCCCTGCACCATCCCTGGGGCGGGGATCAGCCTCATGGCTCAGGGACACAGGACGGCCATTACCTCACCCAGCGGCTGTGTGCCACCTGGCCTGGCCAGTGGGGCTTAATGCAGCCCGAGCCTGGCGCTGGGCAGGGGAGGAATGTCCCGCTGTAGGCACCGGGTATATTGAGACGGGCTGGAGCCACAACTAGGGGGACTTTAAAAATAGAACCCGCAGCCCAGACAAGGCATCAGGGCACGCACCATGGCCCCCCTGCGTCCTACAGGAGCACACCCCGTGTCACCACAGCCATGGAGCAGCTGGCTGGCACGGGGCCTCCCCGGGGCTTGGCGTCTCTTGGTAAACTGTTCTGGGGGGCCACTGATCCCCTGGACTGGGGCGCCCCGGGCTCCGTGTCACAGGCCTGCCCTCCCCAGCCCTGCCGCCCCCCAGCGCTGTGGTTTGCCTGCTGGGCTTCTCCAGGCCTCCTGCACCAGGAACTTCCCCCCCACGGGGGTGCAGGACCAGAAACCCCACTTCCACAGGGACCAGTGGGCGCTCCGGGCCTGGAGGCGCTGAGGAGGGCTCCCGGAGGCAGGGCTGCCCTGCTCAGAGGGCCTCCCTCACGACCACCCGCACTGCAGTCCAGAGGGGGCGCACAGCCAGGGGCACAGCCAGGCAGGCGGACTTGAATTTGCACAGGAGCTCCTGCGGCATCCCTGTCCCCATGCCTACCCCTCCCCGCTCCGGTGGGGCCGGTAGAGGGGCACTGAGGGGCCAGGCACCGGCCAGCTGCAGCCGCCCCTCTAAAAAGGCTGCCCCTGCAGCCCGCGGGCTGCTGGGAGCTCCCCTCCCCCTCCTGCCCACAGGCCCTCAGCATCTCCCCCGGACAGCAGCAGCCCGTCCAGCCTCCTGCCTGTGGGTCTCCACTGAGGCCCCAAGGAGAAGGGGGTTCGGAGAGGAGCCTCGGAGGGCAGAGGGGACCCGCCTTCCCACCCAGCCAGTTCTCCAGGAAGCGGGAGGGTGGGGGCAGCAACAAAGGCCGCCCCGCCCTGTGCCAGCCCCTGTCGGCCACTAGGCCGGATCTGGCCTGCTCTGGGCCTGGCCCCTGGGTGCGTGCTCGGTCCCCCACTTTATGGGAGAGGGGTGTGCGTCCGCTCTGCCCCTCCCGCCGGCCGCCTGTACAGCGAGGACGCGTCCGGGGGAGATGCTGTGGAAGGACCGCACTGCGCAGGCCTTGGCACCTGTGTCCGGGCTCTCGCTGTGAGAACGGCGGGAGGGGCCTCAGCCGGCGGGGCAGGCCCGGGGACGGCTGTGGACCAGCTCCCTGGCAGTTTTCAGTTCCAGGACTTGTCAGACTCTGCCAATGGGGACCCAGAGGACAGAGGGTCCCCAGGGAGGGGAAGGCCAAGATTATTCTGGGGCAACTGTGCCGGTGATTCCTGGAATCCAGGCTGCGAGCTACTTCTGGGGCAGCGCCGCCGAGTGCTGACAGGCCGAGCTGTTTATAGCTCGAAGGTCAGGCGGCTCCGAGGGCCCCTCCCCCCGGAGCAGACGGAGGGCCGCAGGCCCACAGCGTCCCAGCGAGGCCTCCCTGCCGGCTCCCTCCCCAGCATCAGAGCTGGCCCTGGCCCTGTGCCCCCGAAAGGACGTGGGCATGAGGCTGCTGGGCTCCTGGAGACCAGAACCTCCGAGCGCTGGGCCAGCTTCATGGACCGCCCCCAGGCGGCAGCGAGCGAGACGAGGCCCTGGCCCTGATGGTGGCCCTCCAGGCTGGCGAGCTCTCCTCAGCCCCGGAGTCTGTCCCTCTGCACAGTCCCCTCCGTCCAGGGCAGCGTCTGTCACTGCAAAGGCCCCTAGGACCACGCCCCACCCTCCCCAGGCCCATCTGAGAGGCTGGAGGGGCTTGGCCGTGTCCCGTGCTCTCCGGCCGCCCACATCGCTGTGCCGGAGTGTCTGAGGGGCCTCCGGGACACAGCGGGGCTGTGGGCCTGGCTCTCGAGAGGCCTCGGAGGGCCAGGGAGGGGAGGCTGGTCAGCTGGAGAGGCACAGGGAGGCCCCTGTCCGGTGGTGTGAGGCAGGGCCAGTGGCGGTGTGGGCGGCGGAGGGGGCAGAGGTGGGCCTGCTGTCACTGCTTTCAGCCTGAGGTGAGGAGGGAGGGAAGGTGGCCCGAGGCGCTGGAGCAGGGCGGCAGGGGAGAGACTTTATTTTTAGACTATTTTCTTAGAGCAGTTTTAGGTTCACAGCAACATTGAGGGGAGGGAACAGAGATTTCCCCCTCCCCTCCCCCTCTCCCTCTGGTTTGCCGTTGTTACCGCTGATCAGCCCACATGACCTCGTTGCCCCCGGGCTCACTGGGGCTCACTCTGGTTGTAGGGCCCGGTTTGGACAAATGGAGAGGGCTCGCCTTTGCCTCCAGCGCAGAGCTCCCTGCCTGGACCCAGTGCGAAGCTTAGGCGAGGTTCTGGGCTGGCTGGGGCTGGGAGTGGGACCCGGGAGGCAGGAGTTTCCAGTGGGAGGGTGGGGGGTGGAGCCAGGCCCCAGGGGAGCCCAGATGGGCTCTGAGAGCCAGGCAGGCAGTAACTTAATCCCACAATGTTACAGGCACTTAGGCTCCAGGGCTCCACGGAGATCCCCCGGGATGGGCCCCGGGAAGGTGGGGAGGAGATGCTGGAAGGCACACCATCCCCACATCCACCAGCTGCCCTTGCCCCCACTCCCCCTCCCCCTGTCACCCGGACATGGACCAACCTGGAGGGGGGGCAGGCAGGGCCAGTCTGTTCTGAGCTCAGCAAGAGATGGCTGGGGCGTCCTCCGGAGCTCAGCTGCCCTCCGGCTGCCGGCTGCCTGGGAACTGGGGAGACAGGAGCCAGTCTTATGGGTGCCCCTGAGCCAGGGAAGCCCTGTGGACCCCCGGCTCTGGCTCCTGAGCCAGGGAAGCCCTGTGGACCCCCGGCTCTGGCCCCTGAGCCAGGGAAGCCCTGTGCACCCCCTCTGCCGGCTCTGGCCCCTGAGCCAGGGAAGCCCTGTGCACCCCCTCTGCCGGCTCTGGCCCCTGAGCCAGGGAAGCCCTGTGCACCCCCTCTGCCGGCTCTGGCCCCTGAGCCAGGGAAGCCCTGTGCACCCCCTCTGCCGGCTCTGGCCCCTGAGCCAGGGAAGCCCTGTGCACCCCCTCTGCCGGCTCTAGCCCCTGAGCCAGGGAAGCCCTGTGCACCCCCTCTGCCGGCTCTGGCCCCTGAGCCAGGGAAGCCCTGTGCACCCCCTCTGCCGGCTCTGGCCCCTGAGCCAGGGGTGCAGCCTCCCAGCCCAGGCCCTCTGGCTCCTCCAGGGGGAGGAGCTGGGGCAGCACCTCAGATCCTCAGTTGGGAGCTTCCTTGAAACTCCGTCCGCGCTGGGCCCTCCCCACAGGGTTTAACTGCGAGGCCGCCATCCTCGCAGTTAAACGGAATCCTGTGGGCATCCTCCAGGGTGCCCTTTCTCTCCACACGCACAGGGCACGGCTGGCATGGCTGGCACCGCAGCCCCAGGTCTGGCTCAGACCAAAGTACGCTCGTGCCTTCACTCCCTGCCCACGGCCCCTGCAGGTGGCGGGGCCACTGCTGCTGGCTGGCATCGTCAGCCCTGGGCCCCTCTGGGCCCCTTCAGCCCCGGCTCAGCAAGGTGGGAGGACTCCTGGGGGCAGAGTGAGCCATCGGAGGGAACCTGTGAGCCAGCCAGCACTGGTTTCCCAGCGGGCGACGGGGAGGCTGAAAATGTGTGCGATGAAGCGACGATTACAAAGAGCCCTCCAAACGCTCAAGAGGAGAAACACCAAAGAAAACCCAAGGATTTGGCTGCTTTGGATCCTTCCCGGGTGAGGAAAGCAGGGAGGGATGAGGTCCGATAAGGGATCCATGTATGTGTTATGTCTGGACTGCACCCTTCACAGCGCGGGGCTCTGGGTGAGAGTGCAAGCCCCCCCCCCTCCTGTGGGCCGCCTCTCCGGCCGTGGGCCTCAATCTGATGACCCTGGGGCCCCCCGCCTTTCCGTGGAAAGCTGGCAGAACTGAAGAGCACTCCCTGCAGGAGGGCGGCAGCCAGGATCCTGGAGCTGCTCGGTGGCCACAAGCCAGGCAGCGGAGCCAGGATGGGCAGACACAGGTGGACGGAGAGAGGCGCCAGGGGCAGAGGAGTCTGGTCCTGACCAGGCCTCAGGGACGCCGAGCTCTGCCCTGACCTAGGACCACCCAGCGGGTACCTGAGGGTGCAGGGAGCAAGGCCAGCCGGCAAGGGGAGTTTGGTATGAGCTGGTCCCTGTCTATTGGGGCTCCAAACGCAGGACATCCCAGTTCCCCACCCCTTCCCGCGCGGACAGCCCAGCCGCCCGGATGTCATTCTGTGTCCTTGCTCACAGGCCACCGCGTGTTCTGGCCCGGCCTGCTGCCTGACAGTCATCACTTCTGCAGGCAGCAGCCTGCCCTGCCTTCCGGGGTGTGGAGCTCCCGCAGCAGGGCGAGGGACCTTCTCTGTGGCTCAGTAGAAGCATCAGGGAGCCCTGGTTGTGGGGAGTCGGCTGGGGGCCCGGTGGCAGTCCACGGAGGCAGCACCTGCTCACGCCGCCCGACGGGAGCCGCTGGGCGGAGCGGGCGGCGGTGGACAGCAGGGGAGTGACATGTCCTGTCGGGCAGAGCCGTGGTGGGTGTAGTGCTCAGAGGAAAACCCGTTCGCTTTGTAGACAATGTCTGTGTGAAATGCGGGGGGAGCAGAGGCCAGGAGAGGCCCCAGGAGTCCCAGCTCAGCCAGGGTGTTTGCTCCACATTGCGGCTGCTTTCAGTTGCTTCAGCCTGTGCGGTGGAGGCCCCTGGGCTGGGTCAGGAGGAGGCGGTGTGCGGTGTGAGAGGAGGGGTGTGAGAGGAGGGGTGTGAGAGGAGGGGAGTGAGAGGAGGGGAGTGAGAGGAGGGGTGTGCAGTGTGAGAGGAGGGGTGTGAGGGGAGGGGTGTGAGAGGAGGGATGTGAGGGGAGGGGTGTGAGAGGAGGGGTGTGAGGGGAGGGGTGTGAGGGGAGGGGGTGTGAGGGGAGGGGTGTGAGAGGAGGGGGTATGAGAGGAGGGGGTGTGAGAGGAGGGGTGTGAGAGGAGGGGGTGTGAGGGGAGGGGTGTGAGAGGAGGGGTGTGAGAGGAGGGATGTGAGAGGAGGGATGTGAGGGGAGGGGTGTGAGGGGAGGGGGTGTGAGAGGAGGGGTGTGAGAGGAGGGGTGTGAGAGGAGGGGGTGTGAGGGGAGGGGTGTGAGAGGAGGGGTGTGAGAGGAGGGATGTGAGGGGAGGGGTGTGAGGGGAGGGGGTGTGAGGGGAGGGGGTGTGAGAGGAGGGGTGTGAGAGGAGGGGGTGTGAGGGGAGGGGTGTGAGAGGAGGGGTGTGAGAGGAGGGGGTGTGAGAGGAGGGGTGTGAGGGGAGGGGTGTGAGAGGAGGGGTGTGAGAGGAGGGGTGTGAGAGGAGGGATGTGAGAGGAGGGGGTGTGAGAGGAGGGGGTGTGAGAGGAGGGATGTGAGGGGAGGGTGTGCAGTGTGAGAGGAGGGGTGTGAGGGGAGGGGACTGAGAGGAGGGGTGTGAGAGGAGGGGGTGTGAGGGGAGGGGTGTGAGAGGAGGGGTGTGAGAGGAGGGGGTGTGAGAGGAGGGGTGTGAGAGGATGGGTGTGAGAGGAGGGGTGTGCGGTGTGAGAGGAGGGGTGTGAGAGGAGGGGTGTGAGAGGAGGGGTGTGAGAGGAGGGGGTGTGAGAGGAGGGGTGTGTGAGGAGGGGTGTGACGGGAGGGGGTGTGAGAGGAGGGATGTGAGGGGAGGGGTGTGAGAGGAGGGGTGTGAGAGGAGGGGGTGTGAGAGGAGGGGGTGTGAGAGGAGGGGTGTGTGAGGAGGGGTGTGAGGGGAGGGGTGTGAGAGGAGGGATGTGAGGGGAGGGGTGTGAGAGGAGGGATGTGAGAGGAGGGATGTGAGGGGAGGGATGTGAGGGGAGGGGTGTGAGAGGAGGGGTGTGAGAGGAGGGGTGTGAGAGGAGGGATGTGAGAGGAGGGGGTGTGAGAGGAGGGGGTGTGAGAGGAGGGATGTGAGGGGAGGGTGTGCAGTGTGAGAGGAGGGGTGTGAGGGGAGGGGACTGAGAGGAGGGGTGTGAGAGGAGGGGGTGTGAGGGGAGGGGTGTGAGAGGAGGGGTGTGAGAGGAGGGGGTGTGAGAGGAGGGGTGTGAGAGGATGGGTGTGAGAGGAGGGGTGTGCGGTGTGAGAGGAGGGGTGTGAGAGGAGGGGTGTGAGAGGAGGGGTGTGAGAGGAGGGGTGTGAGAGGAGGGGTGTGAGAGGAGGGGGTGTGAGAGGAGGGGTGTGTGAGGAGGGGGTGTGAGAGGAGGGGTGTGAGGGGAGGGGTGTGAGAGGAGGGGTGTGAGAGGAGGGGTGTGAAAGGAGGGGGTGTGAGAGGAGGGGGTGTGAGAGGAGGGGTGTGTGAGGAGGGGTGTGAGAGGAGGGGTGTGAGGGGAGGGGTGTGAGGGGAGGGGGTGTGAGAGGAGGGGTGTGAGAGGAGGGATGTGAGGGGAGGGGTGTGAGGGGAGGGGGTGTGAGGGGAGGGGTGTGAGAGGAGGGGTGTGAGAGGAGGGGGTGTGAGAGGAGGGGTGTGAGAGGAGGGGTGTGAGAGGAGGGGTGTGAGAGGAGGGGGTGTGAGAGGAGGGGGTGTGAGAGGAGGGGTGTGTGAGGAGGGGTGTGAGAGGAGGGGTGTGAGGGGAGGGGTGTGAGGGGAGGGGGTGTGAGAGGAGGGGTGTGAGAGGAGGGATGTGAGGGGAGGGGTGTGAGGGGAGGGGGTGTGAGGGGAGGGGTGTGCGGTGTGAGAGGCGGGAAGCCCCTGGGAGCAGGCTGGGCTGCTGGCCCCCGCCGACCCCATCGGGGATTCGTCCCTCTCCCGTCCTCCGGGTCTCAGACCAGGCCAGGCAGGCTGCTCCGGGCAGAGGTGCGGGTGCCAGCAGGCAGCACGCTTCTGTGGTCCCGGGGTCATTGCTCGGTTCCGGGCCCGCCGTGCTGAGCACCCCGGGCGCAGGCTGGCGGGCAGAGGCCCCAGGGCTCTGGCTTAGGGGAGAGTCCCATCCGCCCAAAGCCCTGTCAGGCTTGACACCCAAGGACGGCGACGGTCCCGGGTCCCCCTGGCTCCTTCTACGCTGGTCCCCAGACGTTGGCCGGAGAAGAGTGTCTGCGGGCATCAGGGGCCGGCCTTGCCCTGGGCCCAGCCAGGACAGTGGGCCGCGTGCCTGGAGGAGCCAGGGAGGCTGGCCTGTGGCAGCTGGGGAAGCAAAGCCCGGTCTCTGGGTGGGGCCTGCCCGGCCGGCCACACGTCACGGTCATTCCAGCGTCGCACAGCGCCACCTGGTGTCTTAGGAGGGGGGCTTCATCACATTCCCCGAAATGTCCCAGCAGTGGCCACCAAACTATTCGGGTGACGTCCGAGGCCTCCAGCACCTCCTGTGACATCCCTGCGGCGGGTCCACAGCCAGGGCGGCCGGAGCCAGGGGCAGAGCCGGGTCCTGCGCCCCGTCAGTGGGTCAGTGGGAGCCAGAGTCCCCCGGAATGTTCCTGGGGTGTGCCTTCCTGGCATTGTGTGGGTGCTCCGGTGGCGGAGGCTGGCGTTCTGTGATGGGGGTCGGGGGGGGGGGGATGCAGACTCTAATGCTCTGTGTGTCATTGGGGTGCAGGGTTAGGGAACTGGCCCCCACAGGCGCACCTCCCCTGCGGGCAGGATGGAGCCAGCCTCAGAGCGCTGAACCCTGCCCGTGTGCCAGCCTGCTCACTCGGCAGGGCTGACAGCGCCTGGCCGCTCACATGAAGCTGCTCTGAGAGGGGCATTGGTCTCGCCAGTGGCGGCAGCCTCTGCGGGTGCTGAGCCTCCGCTCCTGCCTGCCCTCTCCCCCGGGCCGGGTGCTGTGTGGGTTCTCAGGCGCAGGAGGTGCAGGAGCGCCTGGTGTAGCCGGAGCCCCGGAGCCCACTGGCTCCCGGTGGGAGTCCGTTCTCACTCAGGCAGCATCCAGTGCAGTGCCCGGCGAGCATGCTCCCCCAGGCACAGCCCCAGGCGCAGGGCTCTGCTGCTAGGAGCTCAGCTGCCCTCCGGGTCCTCTCCATGAAGAGAGAGTGCAGGGTGCAGGGTACGAGACCGACCGCTGGGGACAGGCTGGGAGGGCGTGCACCGCCTCCCTCGCGTGCTGCCAGCCACACGCAGACGCAGGCACTAGGAGACTGTGTGCCAGCGGGAGGGACGGCCTGGGGAGCCGCGGTCCAGCCACAACACAAAGACAAAGTGGCAGGCCTCTACCCGTGGCCCCCGGTGACTCCCCCGAGCGTGGCCCAGCCTCGGGCCACCCTCCTGATGCTCCCCCATCTGCACCCTCTCAGATCACCCCGGGCAGCAAGGCAGCCCAGTCACAGCTCAGCCAGGGGGACCTCGTGGTCGCCATCGACGGCGTGAACACGGACACCATGACCCACCTGGAGGCCCAGAACAAGATCAAGTCTGCCAGCTACAACCTGAGCCTCACCCTGCAGAAGTAGGTGGAGCCTCCAGGCGGGAGGCGGGAGGCGGGAGGCGGGAGGGGCCAGCCTGGGCCCAGGGCCTCGCCGGCTGCCGAGGACCGGGCCCAAGTCATCGTCAAGCACCTGCCACGTCTGTGCTTCTCCAGACAGACAGGCGGGAGGTGGGGCTGGTGCTGCCAGGGGTGGCCGCCGGCCCAGGAGCCAGGCTCCCTGCTTTCTCTCCTGCAGGCAGTCCCCGAGGCCCGCAGAGGCCCCGGCTGCCGGCGCCGAGGCCATGCTTCCCAGCCGCTTAGAGGAGCCGCCCGGGCTCTGCCCGGCTGCGGCCGCGTGGCTCTCGGGAGCTCTCGGCCCAGCGTGACCTCACGGGCCTCCTTTCTGGCTTCTCCAGGTCGAAGCGGCCCATTCCCATCTCCACGGCAGCGCCCCCGCTCCAGTCGCCTCTGCCAGTGATCCCCCACCAGAAGGTAGGTGCTGACTGGTGGCCGACACCACTCCCAGACGCGGCTCCTGGTGCAGGCCATGGCGAGGGCTCAGTCCTGCCACCACTGCCGCTGTACTGATCCTGGGAGAGGAGTGCCCGCCTGGGTGCCACCTGCCAGGCCTCCTGGCTGGGCCCACGTGCCAGCAGCGTAGGCTGTGTCCTCACAGCGTCCAGGCCTCTGACCTCCTTTTCCTGAGGCCAGGGTCAGGCTGTGGCAGGAGAGCTGAGGCCCAGCTTCACGGGCACCCTGGAGGAGCTTGTGGCTGTGGAGGGGCCTGCTGGCTCCTGGGGTGTCTCCCTCTGATTTCCATTCCTCCTCCCAACCACATCGCCTCAGAGCCCAGCCCCACCTGGTGGTGACCAGGGCAGGAGAGAAGGGGGGGCCCTGCCACAATCCTTGCCCTGTGCCCCAGGCTCCTGCCCAGCTTCCTCCCGGGGACCCCCCACCCCTCCCGGCATGACCATTACTGACCCCGGTTTCTCCAGTGAGGCAGAGGACAGAATGGGGAGAGGAGGCTGGCGGGCGCAGAGGGGGCAATGGGGGAAAGGCAGAGGTGAGCCAAAGAGGCCAATGTCAGCCCCTACTGCCTCAGTTTCTCCTGCACCTCCACTCTGCCTGTCCACTGCCAGCGCGCGGCCCCTTCTCTGGGCCTGTGGGGGCACCACAGTCCGGGGTCAGAGAGCAGGAGGCTGGGCTGTGCCCACCGGGGCCCTCACTCAGAAGGAGAAACAGATATGGTGCCCACCCACCCCGGCCCTGGCTCCAGCCTCCTCGAGTGCTGCAGGCAGCAGGCTTGGCTTGGCTTGGCTTTCTGTCCGGGAGGTGCCAACCTGGGCCGGGAGCTGTGCGCCCCCTGCTCTTCCTGACAACCCTCTTCCAGGTGCGCTGTCTGCCCCTGAGCCCAGGCTCCGGCGGGGCCACGGGCCCGCACTAACCCTCTGTTTCAGGTCCGCACAGAAGCACGGGATGCGTGTGGCTCTCACTGCTCTCTTCTCTCTCCCTGCATGGCGGCCGCCCTGTGCCAGGACCCTGCTCTGGACACCAGCCCCGAGGGGCCGGCCGGCCCGGGCACGGCGGTCAGGCAGACCTTTAGCGCCTCCTTCTCCCTCGCGGAGGCCTCTGACCCTGGTCCTCCCAGGGGCAGCCCGGGGGCCACGGCCTCGCTCAGCCCGAGAGCCCTGGGCGCGCGCCAGCCCCGGCAGTATAACAACCCCATTGGCCTGTACTCGGCGGAGACGCTGAGGGAGATGGCTCAGCTGTATCAGATGAGCCTCCGAGGAAGGGCCTCGGGGGCCGGACTCCCAGGCGGGTAGGTACCGGGCACCACTCTGCCAGGTGGTCTGGGGCCGCCTGGGTCCTCAGTGCTCAGGGGAGCCTGGTCAGGTGGTCAGTGAGGCGCTGGCCTCCACCACCAGCCTGTCCGCAGGAGGGCCACAGTGAGAGCCGAGCACGTGTGCTGCATTGGCGTGGCCAGGCCCATGCTTTGCTCAGCCCCCGGGGAGTCTGGATGTGCAGGCGAACAGGCGTGGAGAGGGTTAGGTTGAAGTCCAGCTTCCAGCAACTAAGCGGCCTAGCTGGGCCTGGATGCAAGAGACTCTGACACCCAAAACTCACCCACCCCACCCCAGGACAGGACCCAGCCTGCTGCCCTCACCTTTCGGGAGCCTGGAGGCAGGGCAAGGAGGAGTTAGCGAGGCGGGAGGGCAGTTCCCTAAGGCTGACTGGTCTGGGGAGCCCCTCACGGGGAGGTACCTCAGCGGGGTCCTGAGCTTTGGCAGCAGCGTGAAGGGGTGGGCTTGCAGGGCTGATCCTGCTGGGTGGGGCCGCAAGGAAGCAGGACCCCAAGGAGCCGGGACTGTGCCTGCTGGGGTCTGGCTGGTAGGACCTTGTGAGCACTGGAGTTAAGACCCAGAGCCAGCTGGGGGGTGAGCGGAGGGCAGAGGGGGCGGGGACGAGGGGGGAGTCTCAGGCAGAGCCTGCGGTAGTCCCTGAGTGCTTTCTGCCGGCTATCTCATTCTCATTCTCCATGGCCCCGGGCAGTCGGTCCAGTTCTCCCTAATAACTGTGTGCTTGAAGCAGGGCAGGCTGAGTGGAGGCGTGTGGTCCAGTGGTTAGAAAGCAGCTGGGAAGACTGAGGGAAAAGCCCGCACAGCACTGAGCTCCATTTCGGAGGCTCAGTACACACTGCCCTCTGCTCCCTCGGGCGCACAGCTGGGGCACCAAGAGCCAGAATTGCAAGCCGGATCAGTCTGACCCAAGCCTTGCCCTTCTCTCGCCATGCCACAGAAGGCACAGGTGCCCACAGCTCACTGCTCCGGGGAAAGCCTCTCCCAGGCCCCAGCGCACCCCGATCCTGAGTGAGCTGGCCTCGGCACTTCCGGGGGGAGGTGGCAGGCCAGCACCCGGCTCTTTCCCAGCAGCGTCTGCGGGAAAGCTCCAGAGCGGCAGCATGGAGACAGCCTCTGCCTGGGCGGCTGCTCGCTCCTCTGGATCCCGGGAGACTGGCCTGTGTGAGGCCCTCCTGACCGGTCTGGTCTGGGCGCTCCTCCCAGCCTGTGCTTTCACGAGCACATCTCTCAGCAGCTGGAGCGGTGGCATTGCTTCCCCGCATTGTCCCGCTGGGAGAGAGAAGCCCAGAGACAGTGAGCAATACGCCCAAGGTCACACAGCTAATGAGGGGCAGATAGGACTGGCACTGGGTCCCCTTGGCTCCTCCCTGCATGGCCACAGGGACCTACCTCCCTGTCGCAGGAAGTCAAGGCCAGCCCCACCCCCACTTCCCACGGCTTCCAAGGCGCCCTTTGGGCACAGGGACTTCCGGAACCTAACAAGTATTACAGTATAACCGGACACTCAGAGCACCGGGCCAGCGTGTCCTCCCAGGGAAGGCAGTCCCCTCTGGGAGGGAGTGCTTCCTCCAGAGGGAGGCTGGTGCTGCGGCCCGGGCAGGCCACGGGCAGGGCCACGCAGGGCCACGGCAGGGCCACGGGCAGGGCGGAGCCTGCGAGCTGCGCCCGCCTGGGCAGCCTCTGCTGGGCTTCACCAAGTGTCCAGATGCTCCAAGTCCGTCCACTGGACACAGAGGCCGAGGCTTCCTCTCAGTACCTGTTCAGTCTGCACAGCCGTCGTGTGGCAGGCGCTGCCCCGCCCCCTCCCCTTTCACAAATGAGGAGGCTGAGACAGGCGACTGGCCCAGTCACAGTGCCAGGAAGAGGCAGGGTCAAGGTTTGGACTCTGTCCAGCATGGCTTTAAAAGGAAGTTCCTCCCCCAGCTCTCTCTCTCTCTCTGAGCAGTTTGCAGTGTGGTTTCCTGGCAGCGCCTCCTGCGAGGCATGGGGAACGGATGGGGGTATAAGGACCGGGGCACAGGGACGGGGGCACAGGGACCGGGGACCTGAGCATGCCTGCGGCCCCTTCCTGCTCTCTCAGGCTGGGCTGGAGCAGCGTCTGCAGCCGCCCTGCACCGAGGGCCTGGCAGGCTCACAGCTCCGGGCCTCTGAGTTAGGCTGCTCCAGGCCTCCCAGCTGCAGGCCTCCCAGCAGGCAGAGCTGAGCAGGGGGCAGGAATCAAAGCCAAAGAAGGAGCTGCCTGCCCAGGCGGGGCAGAGGCAGGGGAGCCCCAGAGGCAGCGCTGCCCTTTGCAGGGGGCACGGCTGGCCAGGGCAAGAGCTGACCCTGCAGCTGTCAGCACTGGCCAAAGATGGAGAAGGGGCGAGCTCTGTGCTGGCCTCTCCTGATATAGCTCCCCTGGCAGCTATTTTGGGACTGGGAGGACAGAGGACATTTTATCAGCTCTGACACACGGGCCCTGGCGAGGCTGCTCGGGGGCCCGGGCTCTGGCCTGGATCCCCGGGGTCTTGGCCAAAGGATGAGCAGAGCCAGGCCAGCGGGGGCCGGCTCCCCTGTCAGAGCCCACCGAGGTCAGATCTGAGACGCTGGCAGAGTTTGGGACAAGGGCTACGTGCACTCCCCCGCCTCACCCCAGCCTCCGGTACCGGCAGGATCTGCGGGCAGAGTTTGTGCTCAGAGGGATAGTGCGGGCGCTGCCTCCCCGGAGCCGGTGCTCCGGAAGCTCACTCAGGAGAGGCCGCGGGGCCTCGGTGGTACCGACGGGCTGCCTGCCTGAGGCTTTCCGCCCTCAGCCTCAGACCCAGACTTCGAGCCTCCTGCTCCTCGCTCTGCCTTGTTGCCCGTCCAGGGTCTGTAGGAGCCGTCACCGGAGCCCGCACAGACTCCTACCCCTGTGTCCAGGAGGACCTGCCACCGCCGCTGCCCCTCCCCCGAGAGGGAGGGAGGTCCCTGGTGCTGTGGGTGACCCCGCCCTGCACACACCCTAGCCCCATGCCACTCCTGCCCAGGAGCCCCCGCTGAAAAGGGCACGTCCAGAGCCGATCTCTGCCGGGCTGTGGGGGGGATGCATGTACATGTGCCCTTAGTCTTCCTGGCAAAGCTTTGGCACTTAGGGACCCGCCGAGGAGCCGCCGCTGGGGGACTCAGCTCGTGGCCCTCTCAGCACTCTGCCTGCCACCCCCGCCGCAGGCCGGGCCTGGCCAGGCCTCCTGCACCGCCCCCTGACTCCCTCCTCTCTGCTCTCTCCTCCCCAGGTGGTGGCCAACTCTCCGGCCAAGTTAGTATCAAAGGAAAGCATGTGTGTGCTCTTGCGTGCATATCCCAGCATGCGTCGGTCTGGACCCGGTGTGCCTGTGCCAGCATGTGTCCGCGTGTGTGCATGTGTGAGAGGGGGTGCATTTGTCCCCAGTGCGCCTGCATGTGTGACGCCGCGAGTGTGGAGGGAAGCGCAGGGCGGGGTGCTAGGGCTCGGCCTGACACCCCTGCGTGCAGCTGCTGGAGGCCAGCAGGCGGCTCTGGGGCTGGGCTGGGGCGGGGGAGGGGGCGCCGCCTGGCCTGGGTTCTTCGTGAGCCTGAAGATCTCTGTCCTGCGGGACCTGGCGGGCTGCCCCTGACCTTGTCTTTGCGTGGGGAGCCCCGCCTGTGGAGGGAGAGCCCTGATGAGAGACTGGCGGCCACCCAGCAGGCGGGACCCGGGGCCTGAGCCAGCCCCGCGAGGAAGAAGCTCACCGAGGCGCCGGAGGAGCAGAGCGAGGCCGAGGGGCGCTGCCCGAGGAACGAGGCCGCCTTCCCGGGCCACCCCGGGCTGCTTTCGCCTTGGCCGTCTGTCTGTCCGAGACTCTGCTTGGGCTGCTGCTGCCGCGGCCCAGCGCCTGCCCCCCCCCCCCCATTGTCTGCTTCAGCTGGTGTGAGAGCCCCGTGCCTGTCGCTGTGGGCCCGGGGGCAGGGGGGGACAGAGCCCGGGTGGCCAGAGCAGCCCTGCAGGGGGCTGGGGCAGGCAAGAGTTTCCACAAACCGACCTGGCCAGACTCTGGGTCTCTCCACACCACGCCTTCCGGAGGGCCCAGGTAACCCACCTGCTGCCCCTTTCTCCCCTCGCCCCGCCCCCCAGTGCCGACTACCAGGAGCGCTTCAACCCCAACGCCCTGAAGGACTCTGCCCTGTCCACCCACAAGCCCATCGAGGTGAAGGGGCTGGGCGGCAAGGCCACCATCATCCACGCGCAGTACAACACGCCCATCAGCATGTACTCCCAGGACGCCATCATGGACGCCATTGCCGGGCAGGCCCAGGCCCAGGGCAGTGACTTCAGTGGGTAAGCGCCCCCTCCAGCGGCTCCACCAGCGCCGGGCCGGGGCAGGCTGCCGTGCAGCATGGACTTGGGCCTGGGGACAGCGCTCCCGGGGCCTTGGCTTCCGGCCGCCAGGCCCAGAACATGCGTCCTCCTCAGAACCAACCTCGGGCCCGCTGTAGGAGGGGAGAATCGCAGAGATGGCTCCTCCGCGCGCTGTCAGCCTCCGCCTTGCCCGCCCGTGGGCTGGTTAGAAAGAGACTTCTGGAAAATTGTTGGCCACTGGAGTGCCCCCTATCAAGCTCCCTTTGGAGGGCAGCTGTGCGTTCTCCCAAAGATGAGGGCGACCCGAATGTGTGGTGGCCTCCGGGGAGGAAGGGCTGCAGGCCGCAGCCTCCGGCTGCTGCTCCTCCTGGCTGCCCGCAGCCGGGCCCCGGGCGGAGGGCCGGAGGGCATCGGGTCCCGGAAAGGGTCCTTCCCCACTTGAGGGCCGATGGGGCAGAGTTGGCTGAAAATAATTTGTGGAGGACACTGCTAATGGTGCAAACGTTAATGAGGACCTCTCCCTCTTTTAAAAACAATATATTTTTATTGATTTCAGAGAGGGAGGGAGAGGGGAAGAGAGAGAGACATTAATGATGAGAAAGAATCATTGTTCAGCTGCCTCCTGCACACCCCACCATGTGCCCTGACTGGGAATTGAACTGTGACCTCCTGGTTCACAGGTCAAGGCTCAACCACTGAGCCACAGGGGCCTCTTCCTCCTTTTGTCTTTCTTTCTGTCTCCCTTAGTTTCTCTTTCTCTCTCTTTTTCTGTGTGCGCTTCTGCCTCTTTCACTCTGTTCTCTGCCTCTTTCTCTCTCTCTCTCTCTCTCTCTCTCTCTCTCTCTCTCTCACACACACACACACACACACACACACACCCCGTCTCTGACAGTTTTCTGCTTGGGAATTACATGAGTGTTGATTTTCAGAACCGACGGATTATCTCTTTGGCCAACATCTTATCCCTGACTCAGTATCCCCAGCAACTCAAGGCAAAAAAAAAAATCTTAAAATGATGTACTTTTTTTCTAAATCTAAGAAAAACAGATGTTGTGGGAGGGATAAAAGGGTTAAAAAGTCCCAGAAAACTCCCATAGTGTGAGACCTTTGCCTGACACAGCCATGCTGACAGTGCAGGCTGGTCGGGAGGGCTGGGAGGGCGGGGGCCAGCAGTGCCTGGCCGCGGAGGTGGCGCCTCCTGGGGCCACCAGGGGGCGGGAGCTGCTCGCTGGAGCTGTGGGTCTCAAACTGGCCTGGCTCAGGCAGAACTCTAGACAGCGTTGATTCGATGCCGTGGCGATGCAATTTTAAAAACACAGCCTTTGTCTCACGTGTACCCGGAAAAACAAAAGTGCCTGGCTAACCACGGCGATGACAGGGGTTTCCTGCTAACACTGGTTGGCCCCACATGTGGCAGGCGTGTCCGTGGTGTGCTCCTGAGGGAGCTCCCGTCAGATAATGAAGAACTGCTCTGCGGAAGAACTTGGTTTTCTGCGCTGGGCAAAGAACGCTATTGTTCGGTCTTTCTAACACGAGGCACCTCTGACCTTCTCTCGTCTTCTGGAAGCCTGTCCCCGCGCCTGCTGCCCCCTGCCCCGCCTCCCCCCTCCCAGCGCAGCCTGTGGGAATCTCCACCGTGCCCTCCTCACTGACGTTTTCTTTCTGTCTCTCTCTTCCTCCTTTATTCGTCCCACCCCATAACTCATTTCTGACCCCACCCCTGCTCCCCTGTGCCCGCCCCGCCACCCCTGCCGGACACACTCCCTGCTGGGCTCCTCTGCTTGGCAGGGCGTCGCCGCTGGGGTAAGTAGCCCAGTGTCTGTGCCGTCGTCGTCCGTCTGTCTGGTGTGGGCAGTGTGGGCCGGTGGGACGTGCCCGCGGACAGTGCCTCTGTGTTCTCCCCGCCCACTCACAGCCACACACAGGCTGCAGCGCCAGGCTTGTCTTTGGGGTTTGCCCAAATGGCGTCCCTGCGGGCACATGGGAGGAAAGGCACATGCCGGCCCCGCGGTCTCCGCTCCCTCGCCATGCTCTGCGGCTCACCGGCCTCTGTGGGCACGGGGACCTCGTAGACCCGCCGATCACTGGCCATCGCTCAGGCAGAGGGCGATAAGGGGGTGGTTAGACCCCAGAAGCTGGGCCTGAAGGAGCCAGTGCTGCCAAGGCCACCCGAGGGGCCAACGAGGAGTCAGGCCGCAGGGAGTGTGAGCGGGTAAACGCCCAGGGTGGCCTTAGCTTGCGGAGATTCTGGAGTGTTTTGGTGGCAAGACGCTGTGCCGGGAGGGGCTCCAGAGGACAGCTCCGCCCAGGGTCCCAGGACACTGTCCTCTCTCCGCATCTCTTCCCCTGAGTCCGGTCTTAGCGAGAGGCAGGGTGCCTGGGGGCCCGCTGGGCTGCAGGCTCGGCTGGTCTCCGTGCGGGTGGTGGGAAGGGCCGATGACAGAAGCCCCAGCGACACATTCCCAGCAGCCCGGAGCCCTGGGAGCTCTGGGAGGACTGGGGGACCCAGGGCACATTCTGGGGAGACCGCAGCAAAGGCCTCTGGCTGCTTCCTGGCACAGATTTCGGCATGGGCAGGCTTACAGGCGAGGCCTGGCCCATGGCACAGTCCACACGTCCCGGCAGACAGGGCGCCCGATTGCCCTCCCCATCGCCGCCTCCCCAGGCAGCAGGCACAGCCTCTGCTGTGGACGCTTGGGAATCTGTCAGTGCTGGAAGTGGCACCCCCGCGAGACCCCACCCCCTCGGCTCCTCCCTGCCTGGACCCGAGGGATTCGGTGGTCACCCCCATGGACCCAACCGCAGGCGGCCACAGCCTTCAGGCAAGGAGGCAGCTCCACCGCCTCTGCCTCCCGTGTCGCTGTCTTTACTGCTGCTGTAGCCCACCTGACCCGGACCCAGGGTGCCAATCCCAAGAGGCCCCTCCTGAGAGACTAGACCAGTGCTGGAGGCTCCTTGGTCAGAGAGTAGAACAGGAGGGAACCGAGGGGCCCTCCCAGCCAGGGGGTGAGGGAGAGGCGGCCTGGGAGGCAGGCAGGGGTTCTGACGGCTGTTTCTAGGCGTAGTGTCTGGGTGACGAGGCCCTGCGCACAGCAGGCGAGCCCTGCACCGTGAGGTCTGATGGAAGAACTGGCTGGGAGCTGGGAAGCCTGGCTCTGACCCTGTTCTCGCTGGACCTGATCTGAGCATGTGCTTGGGCTGGGCACTGGCTGGGGAGGCAGGCGTGGGTGCTGTGAGCTCCGCCTGAGTCATGGCAGCGGGCTGGGCAGCCTGCATCCAAGCCTTTCTGGCCAGGGGAGTGGGCACCGGAAAGCTTTCATCTATCCTGCCCTGCAGTCTGGGCCAGGCTGGGAGGCACAGAACCCAAGCAGCTCTGGGGCCCTTTGGCTCTGATACAGGATTAATTTATACAAGTACATCTTGAGCACCTACTATGTGCCAGATCTGGGAGCCTAAGGCAGAGGAAGGCCACCAGGTCCCCCTCCTGCAGCTCCACTCCCAGCTCCCCCTGCAGAGCCCCCTGTCTGCAGGTGACACCCCCACAGGGCCTCGTTGCTGTGTTTCTCACCCCACCCCATTCTGTGGTGCCTGCCTGTGCGTAGCCAAGCCACAGCCTTCAGCCCTCTCCTAAGGCAATCACGGCATTGGGGAGGGGGGTCCCCAAATGGCCTGTCCTAACTTAGCCCCGAACTCAGGGCCTGCTCTGGGTGCTGGAAGTTATTCCTGATGCCTCCTGCCTCTGGCTCCTTAACGGAGATGTGGCCTGAGGCGGGGTGTCCTCAGGTCTGTGCCTGCAGCTGCCTGGGGAGGGGTGTGGCCGGGGCCTGCACCTCCTGACCCTCCTGAGAGGGAGCACCAACTGACTGACCACCTGAGCACTGAGCACCCAGGCGACCAGCCTGGCTCTCAGAGGGCAGGGGGAAGGGCACGGCGGGTTCAGACAAGCAGGGGCCACTGTGGGGGTGCCAGGAGTCCATGTGGGGGAGGGCGGAGGAGGGGCCAGGCTCTGCCCGGCCCTCGCCCACTGTCACTCTGTGTTGCAGGGGCCTTCCCGTGAAAGACCTGGCTGTGGACAGCGCCTCCCCCGTGTACCAAGCCGTGATCAAGAACCAGAGCAAGCCGGAGGACGAGGCTGACGAGTGGGCCCGCCGCTCCTCCAACCTGCAGTCTCGCTCCTTCCGCATCCTGGCCCAGATGACGGGCACCGAGTACAGTGAGTGGGCCGCGGGGACAGAAAGGGGCCTGCTGGGGGGTCCTGGGTCCCACTCCACAGTCCCCGGAAGCCAGGGAGCCGAGCCCCTGGGCCCCTGACGCTGAGCTGGCCCTGAGATTACAGGGGCTGGCGGAGCCCGTCTGGGCTCTGGGGCGGGCAAGTGACAGGAGCCTCTGCTCAGAGCCTGACCAAACAACGGGCAGCAGCTCGCATGGTGTTTCCCGGCAAAGTGACTGCCCCCAGCTGGCCACGTCTCTGACCACTCGCACCAGCACCCTCTGCCCAGCACACAGCCTTTCCCTTCCCAGTCTGCAGGGTGGGAGAGGGCACGGCCAGTCACGGGTGGGGACTCTGTCCATCCTGCTCTGGTAGCTTTCTCTCGTATGCTCCCGGTTTTCCTCCTGACCAGCAACTTTCTGTCCACAGTGCAAGACCCTGATGAAGAAGCTTTGCGAAGGTCAAG